TTTATGTCTATTTGGGTGATAAATAATTGTAAACCGATTGAATTTAGTCCATGATGAGAACTAATTGTTCAGTCGTATAATCGATTCGTAAAAATACGTACTGAACACTTGATTTATTTATCGTATCGTTGATTAAGTCTTTTTGTAAGTACACTCAGCTGGATACTTGATTCAAATAAAATGAATAAGCTCTATTCTTTTCACAATAAGTTCATAACCATACTGTTTGATCATAAAAACCAGTAGAACGAGACAAAGATTTTAACAGCTGACTTAAGTGTTTAAAGTTTGACTGATAAAGACGGCTTCCAGTTGATCGATAATCATCCGGAACTCATACGACGGATAACAGTGTAAAGTTGTGTATGGAGAAAAGCTGATAGACGCATTCTAAGTGAGAACCGGAGTCAGGCGAGGCTGCTAACCATCTCCCTCTTTCTTCTAGTGGTTGGAATATGAAGGCCTTCATATCTCAGAGGAAGCATGAAATACAATCGACAGCTTGCATGCAACTAAACGACTTAGACTTCGCAGATGACCTGATGCTTCTAGCCCTTACATACCAACAAATGAGGTTCAAGACAAACTGTTCAGCAGAAGCCTCCATATCAGTAGGCCTCAACACACACAAAGGAAAAAGCAACATTCTCAAATACAACACAGAGAACACCAAACCAACCGCACTTGATGGAAAAGCTCTGGAAGAGGTGGAATCTGTCATGTAGCTGAGTAGCATCATCGATGAACAAGGAGGATTCGATACAGACGTGAAGGCAAGGATTGGCAAAGCAAGGACAGCATCCCTACTGTTCAATAACGCATAGAACTCAAAACAACTGTCAACCAATATCAAAGTCAGAATATTCGATACGGACGTCAAGACAGTTCTACAGTACGAAGCTGACTTAGAGAACTACCACAACTATCATCAGGAAAGTACAAGTAATTATAAACAATTGTCTACGCAAGATACTTAATTTCCGTTGATCAGATAGCATCAGCAACAACCTATTGTGGGAGAGAACAAACCAGGTCCCAGTTGGAGAGAAAATTGGGAAAAGATTTTAGAAGTAGACAGGACATACATTGAGCAAATCACCAAACTGCATCACTAGGCAAGCGCTTACCTGGGATCCTCAAGGGAAACGGAAAAGAGGAAGACCACAGAACACACTGAGTCGAGAATCGGAAGCAGGCATCAAAAGAATGAATAGAAACCGGAAAGGATCGCCCAGGATAGAGAATGTTGGTGAGAGGCCCATGCTCCTCCACGAAGAGTAACAGGTATAAATAGTTGTTTCCCCAAATTACTTTAAGTCTAAATGAGTTTGGAACGTGTTTTAAACACATTTCTGGTTGAAATTCTAGGTACGAAACATCGTTTAACGAATAATTACTGAAAGATTTTATGGAGTAATGAAGAGAGTCTGAGATAAAATTACCGGCTTCTACTAATCAATACACATTGAAAAACATTTCATGGTATATTTCTTAGGATAACGCAAAACACTAATGTTAGATTTTAAAACTTGAGATTACACTTTGATTTCTGACAAAGTATTAAATAACACTTGCTTTGATGTTCAGGTTATTCATGAGAATTTCTACTGAGTTGCCTCTAATTGAATGGAATCTCTTAAATATCAGTCAGAAACATTTTATCAATGTATATTTACAATTAACCATCACGTTTCATCCTTTATAAGTAAACGTTCCTACCGCGAATAACTTTCCATTTTATTCAACATTTTTGAAAATCACGCTTCCAGAATACAATTAGCGACATTTATTAATTTAATAAGTCAGAACTTGAAAACTTAGTGCACGAACATAAAATTAAACATCAAAACTAGCTGCGTAAAATAGCCGGGAGTAAATTACCAGAGATGGAAGGAATTGTAATATTAGTTTGTTTGCTACTTACAAGTACTATGTTGTATTTGTGGTATTTTTTAAGTATCAACCAATCGCTAGTCCATCAAATACAATACAAAACCATGCATAATATTTAACGAGGTTTACCACAAAGAATCTTTGATAGACATGATGAATTTTGCGTTACTGCAGTAGATTTATCATATTTATCTAGTAAGTTGTTCGTATCCCACCAATTAATTGTTAGTTACCAGAGTGATTGAAAAATGTTTCCAATTCCGCCAATATGACAGGCTCAATTAACATTATGTAATCTGAATCCTACTGATGTCCGTTTACTACTATTTCCTTTATGAAAACTGATAAAAATAGTTGTTTCTCTAAAAAATAAAACATAACTGGTATGAGTTGTACGTAGTTATGTACAGAATATACGAAAACTCCAAACGTTGCACCATGAAGATTACATTTTTATTTAGTTTGAAAGCTGTTTTTTCTTGTGAAAGTCACCCAATTAAGTGTACATTATCCTGTACTAATAAAATCTAAAATTAATCGGTTACTACTAAAAATCTTTGTCAATTATCACAGACAAAGGTTTGTGATCGGGTAAAGCTGGCATTAAAGCTCCTAGAAAGGAGTTGGTGATAGTTCCTATTTGTTAGCAAAACAATGTTTTAATCCTTGGTAAGCTGGAGCCCCTTCCCCAGAGATATGAATCAATATTACTCGCTGTCGAAGTCAAAGACACGACTAGCATGAGTGAGGACTGTAACGCTTGTTATGTGTTGGGGATGCTCGATCACTAGAAATCACTTCGTAAACGTCTTATTTTTGTAACTTTATTTTGGAAGTTTGAATCCCTGGTTTTCGCGACTATTTTCACCTTCAGATGGTATTTCCCACTTGAAAGGACCCTAAATGTCATTCGTCCGTTCCCTTTGAATATTTTGTATCAGATGAACGTTTTTATGATGCATATATACGCTTGAGATGTATGCTCGGTTGTTAGTACTTCTGGCTACTTGTGGAATATACCTCTCCATCATCTGTACCGCATCTTCCCCCCCCTCTAATTAGCGGGGCTGGAACGCAACAAAATTGTTAAGCTTGTCTTGTCGTTGTGTTGCTGATTTTAAGTGATCTCGTAATCTCTTCAAACGCAGCATATTGATATATTAGTATGAAATAGCAACCAATGACATGTAGTCTTAAATGGCCACTAGACAAATTTAATCGACAGAATTCGATCCGGACTAAGAACTGTGTACCTTACGAGCTGATAATTTAAAAAGAATTATTTCTCTGTGTAACTATTCACCCTAATGTTATATATAAATGAGCAGACTGAACTATAAATGGAGTATATTGATTATTAAGGGTTTAAACTTTGGTTTTTCGTAAGTGGTTCGTATTCATTAGCAGGGGGTCAATACAGTGTTTTACTCAGTATAATAGTTAGATAGATTTTTATAATTTGTTTTCAACTAATTGGTAGAATGCTTAACTTTCAATATAATACACTAAAATTGACAACTCACGTAAATGAATAACAATATTGTAGGTTTAGTAGTTATGCTTCCACTAACTTTAATGATTCAATAACATGAAATTGATTACCAACCAGAAACTCGTAAGAGGGATTTTTTAATTAAAATACTAATCCTTCAACAAATGGGAGTAAAATTGTCAGATGTGAATGCAATATTTAATGTAAACTGAAAGCTTATCAGATTTTATCGCAGCCACTTTTCAAAAGTTGATTAACAGTAGATAAAACGATGTTTGAACAGCTGTCATTTAAAAAAAATCACAAAATAACGTGTTAAGCTTATGATACATTTCATTGGGTTTCTAAGTGTTCGGTATATGTTATAATGAGGAAAAATTGTTCTTTACACTTTAGTAATTCTCTGTAGACACTTGGGGACAGTGTGCATTTTATTTAAGAATAAATATTAATAATTCTATATTTTCGCACTTGATATACCCTATCCTGCATTTTCTACATATTCAGGATGCTAGCAGTACATTTTGCGAAACTAGGGATTCAGATTACCCGACAATATGGATGACCAAAAATTTGTCTTTAATATTGTTTTCTACCTGAATTTTCAAGCGATTGTGACTAAGAGGCTAAAGCACTCAACTTCCAACCCCTTAAGTTATAGCTTCGTAACATTATCCACCTACCTCAGTTTAACTCAAAACACGTTTTGGTTTGGCCATCCCTAGCGTTCTTCCAACGAAATCTTACACTATCAAACAACACGCTTCCACTGTGATTTGGTAAACATAATACGTATCCCAATCACTACAGTCGATGGGTATTATCTACTTCGCCAACTGACTTACCATCTTTACCTAGTACTCTAAGTCTAAAATCTGTAGTAGGATTATAATCAGTAGTAACATAATTTCGCAGTTTAATTAACTTATTAGTTTCTAAATCCTGTTTTTCCAGTAAATAACGAATAATTTATGTATGAATTCAATCTCTCAATTCAGCTTTGTATCTAGCAAAAAAACTGCAGTATTCATGAGGGCAACATAACTATTTCACTGACAGTTGTTTAAATTAATAAACACTGTAGATCTCTATACTCATAAAAAGTTATATAAACTTTTTGTCGAATGAATCAGTTAGTGGTAGACCTAATACATATAGATGGTTAGACAAAATTGATTTGAGCAAAAGATAAATGCTCCATTACGATAAGAAAAACTCGAGTTTAAAATGATTTCACAAACCAATAATCACAAGATATAGGTGACATGATTTTGATTTGTTAAGGCTAAATGAGTTGGTCATCTCACTCTCCAGTTGACTTGTGTTTGTTAAACAGGGATCTTAGTCTTATCTCAGATCTCGAGTTTTGAAATCCCCTTGTACTTTTTTATCTCACAAATTCATGTCCCCTATAATCATATTGTTTATGCCGAATCTTTCCTACCACAACGGATATTTCTATTAAGTTTACAATCTGGCATCTCACTACGTTGATATGATGTGGAAGCATGAGCCGATGCACATGTATGCCAGGTTCTAAATGGCGTCCGAATGACTGGATGGATGAAAGAATCGTCTAGACAATACTCTAACAAATAAAACTGATACAATGTTGGCAAAGCTTTGGTTAGCCATAACTTACCATATCACTCTGAAATACGGATTAAAACAAGTAAAACTATTTTATTTGTGTACAATTTAAAGCTGCTATAGGAAGGGCAATATTGTAGACGAATTAATGAAGATTACTTTAATGATGAACAGTCTTAAAGCAAAATTACAGAAACAATGTTTATGAATAAATTATGGGTTTTTTTAATACAATGAGGACTTAAAAATAGAATAACAATTATTAAAAAGCGGTAAAATATACATTAGGAGTATAGTAGCAACTTTACAGGTCGACAATCTCAGCAGAAAACTGTTTCCCTATATATTTTTACCAAAGTATATTATAAAGAGTTTAGGTAATAAAACTGACATTTTCATGTAGAGCGATTTGCAAACACCAAGATATACATGCAAAATATTTACACACAAGTGTCAGATATATTTGGACAGACAATGTAAGACAACAAGTCGCAAGAAAAAAAAATAATGGGATATAATTCATCTTTTTTGTCCAAATATGACAATCTATTTCTTCCTAAAGAACAGATTTCCGAGAATGAACAAAGTCAAAAACGAAGATGGATATTTCTTCTCTAGTTTCTTCTTTAGTATTAGTGTTCACATTGAAACAATTTAATTAAGTATCGCAGCAGAAAACTAGTGGATAAGTGTGGTTGGACAATGACTTTTCCGAGCTGTCAGCAAAACTGTTAGAAAAACAAATTTTCAAATGCTTGTTGTAAACAATGTTATAATAACAAGAAAAAAAGACAAACAACTTACTTGAAAAAATGATTAGATGATCAATTAATGTCGGGTTGTAAATAAATCAGCTCATGAGTGTGCATGCTAATGAACACCAACTTAATGACAACAGATTTCTGTTTTGCGTTAAACTCCTTATTACTGGTGAACATATAAGCATCATTTTGACTTTTGATTGGAAATAGAGTAATAATTTACGTTCACCTAGTCATCGGATACTATGGAAATGCATTCCCCAACGTTGTTTAATTGCTTTATGGATTGAGCTTTTAGACAACAAGCTTGAAGATAGTCAGCCCCCTCGGAAAAACAACTGCTTGGATCCAGGAACCTGAACAGTAACATAGCTATTTTTTTTAAATCACGACATAATATACAAAAACAGACTGAGGAGTTAATGCAACTCAATCTTACTATGCAAAAAATAAGTTATTCAATTGCTTTACTTTTTGTGGTATTATATGATATTCACATTGTCATCCACTTTTACTTTCAACTTCATTACATCACGAAACTAGTTCCTGTCAACTATATTGAATTGTCTCCAATGAGAAACTACTTTTTTACATCTGATACATTCAACGTTCAAAATTGATAAGAATAGGAAACAAGCACAAGTTGGGACTCGGGAAGAACCCGCTAAAAATGTTTTTTTAGCGAATGGCATTTAAGAACATAGAAGTAGTCCTACCATAGATTTTAAGCTTATTACGGAAATTATATTTTGGCATGGGTTTGCGAAAAGATTTGGAATCAATGTCAACAGTAACCGATTGAATCTCCAACAAGCTACCTACATGCTAATGAGCTGGTAAGTGTGAAATAGACCGTAACCACTATAGAAAATTAGGCCAATTTGTTAATTCAGTTTACAATCAACAGTGCAGGACTATTTCTGGCCATGTAGCAGCGCCACAATCCAATAACAACACTAGTTACAGTTTACGCTAAACAGCTTTAAAATAAGTATGATGGAGAACGCTATTACATCACCCCAGTTGTGAAAATGTATAGTTCGAGCCTTGTTACAAGTCAAGCTTTCATTTAGTAGATCTTCATTTGGAAAAGCTTTGACTAAGCAACAAAAGTATATTAGAATTGCTTCAAGTAAAGGAGTATTCATTGAGAGCGCACGATATAACTAGGGAGATTTATTGCGACTAATATGAATAAGCCCCCTAAAGTAAGGTTCAGACATGTAAAATTATAATAAAGCAATTAAGTGGAACTTACTTTCCAACGGTGGCCGCAATTGTTACAATAGACAAAAGTGGTCATTGGTTCATCTGCACTACGAGTTTGGACCTATGGAAAGAAGAAGTATATATGTTTCTAAAAGAATATAACACAAGTTGAGGGAAGACAAATATGACTGAATCCTACCGTATCAAGTAAATAAAATGATACTGCATGTTGTGACTTTTAATTAAAATGTGAGCTGCATAAATAGGTAGGGAGCAAAGGATAGCATAAGCGGAATATACCAGTGCCTATGAAAAGCAGATACATATTTACTGAAGTTTTCATATCACCAACAAATGCGATATTGGGAAAATGTGCTGACCACCGATCGACTCGCATTTATTATCACTTTTTAGATTGAAATAACAGAACATGGAAAAGCATCCACATAAAAATGTTTAGTGGAAATGAATATGTTTTATTTGGAAACATTTCATATAATAACCTGATATAGACAAAAACGAATGACAAAATATGCAAGATAGTTGAGAATATAGAATTCATGCATAATGAATTATGGACAGAAATAGCACTAAATCGGAAATGAACTAAAGCTAAACATTAACAAAATTGCATCACTGCAAAACACATGTAACTGTTGGTCAACGTACAACAGTTACGCGATGAACAGATTTTCTTTAATGCAACAAGTAATTATAGAATATGAGTTGCGATCAAAAACAAATACTTTTATATAATCTCGTATTCAGTCAAGTAAGATATGTTACTTAGTTTAACGTGAATATAGCTTTATTACTGAAGGACATCAGCGATAGAAAAAAAGGGCACTATCTACCTGTTCCGTCCTGATCTGAAACTTCTTAGCAATGCACATTTATAACTCCGAAGGAGCTTGAGTCCAGAAATTTCGGGCCACGCAGCAAATTTGTAACTTATAAATCACTCACTTTGGACCTAATGGTTTGCACTTACAATTTCAGTTAATTTGTGATACCTACCGTCATCAATGATGACTTTTATTTCCAGATTTTATTTGAGGATAATTAAAGGCAACTAACCTGGTTATATGTACACTTGGTTTGCTTGCACTTTCCACATCGTAATAAATCAGTTTCCGTTCCACCAGTTACAGCCATTTGATGATCTTCTATAGTTTCCTTAGTATATTTCTCACGAAGTTCTTTCATTTCTTTACTAGCCATCTCCTACACAATCAAATCAATAAGGAACTTAAGAAAATAGTTACGTATCCTACTAAAATTAAATTGTAACATGGGGGGTTTCGAATTAGCTTTAGTTATATTCCGGTTAAGAATAGTGGATAACATGTTGATCGATAGATGATCTATAACAGTTAATCAAAAACATTACTGAATCAAACCCCGTTAGGAAACAGAACAAGGTCCTGTTGTATTTAAGTGACTAATACTAGTATTTCTGTTGCTAATCCTTTAGTCATTCTGAATTGGTGCATGCAGCTTTCGTAAACAACACATATCTAACTTTCACACATGGTATCATTATTTTCTTTTAATGAATAGATTCGGGAAACTAAAGTGCATTTTGTGTATACTTGGTTCTGAAAATAATTAGTTGTATGATCAATAAGGAGCATTACAAAGAAACCCGAGTAAACTGAATATTGATGACCACCAACTGACTCAGTAGAGATAGCACGGATTATTAGGTGGTTGTAACAAGTCAGGAGATTGTATTTCGTGATTAGTTGTCAATTAATTGGTCACAACGCATTAGTTCACTTCAATCGATCAAAATTATATGTCACCAAAAAGTTAAACCATTCGATAACAAGAGCAATACTTCTAAAAACGGACTTGAAAAATTGTGCCACTTTAATAATTTGTAGAGGATTCAGTCAGTCAGTCAGCTACAACGTAGGACCAGGCACATATGTGCATCGGTCTAAGTTGCCAGACCTCATTAACACAACAAGATAAACACCGGATTCATAAAAGTAGTTAATTCAGGGGTGGTAATATATAAAAGAAAGATTGTAATAAGGATATAGTACAGGAAGAAAGAATTATTTCATAGAAAGAAAGATATGAAGCGATTTTAATCTCTTAGTTTAAGGGAAGACAGAGAGTGTATACACCGACGCCATTGTGATCGATTCTGAGTCATGTCTCCAAGAGTCTTCAACCATTGGTTACGATAGTCACGCGGACCCCAACCAAGTAGTCTGCGTCTACCAACATGGCTCAGACTAGAGGATAGTGACTTCAAGCACTGATGCCACGTTTTGGTTTGGCCACCCCTAACTTTCTTCCAATCATCCCCTACACTATTCAGCATTGCACGTCGTGGTAATCGGTGTTCAGGCATACGTAACACGTGGCCCAACCATCTCAGTCGATGAAGATTCACAATCTCATCAACTGATTTACCATCATTTCCTAATACCCTGCGTCTAACCTCACAATTACTTACCCGGTGATCCCAGCAGACGCCAGCAATATTTCTTAGGCATCTGTAGTCAAATACTAATAGCTTACGAGTGTCTTCTACTCTTAATGGCCATGTTTCGCTGCCGTAAATTAAAACAGAACGGACTGCCGCGCAGTATACTCGTCCTTTTATTGATAGACGGATATCTCGCCTTCGCCACAGGTGACGTAAGTTGGCAAAAGCCAAACGAGCTTTTCGAATCCGTGCTGAGATTTCGTCCGATACCAACCCATTACGGCTGATCAGACTTCCAAGATAAGTGAAGTTGTCAACGCGTTCGACTACTTCACTCCCTATCCTTAGTTCAGGTGTTAACGCAGACCAGTCCTGAAGCAACAACTTGCATTTAGAGGGAGAGAAGCGCATTCCAAACATCCTGGCATTGTTGCTCAGTGCTACCAGAAGACTCTGCATTTTGTCAGCGTCTTCACCAAACAGGACTATGTCATTTGCGTATTCTAAGTCGATAAGTGGACCTCCTGGAAGGAGATCAATACCCGAGAAGTCAGTCGACGAGAAAGTTATTTCCATCAGTAGATCTATGATGAAGTTAAACAAAAATGGGGAAAGTGGACATCCTTGACGGACACCACTTGAGGTTGTAAAAGTAGATGACAGTTCGCCATAAGCTCTCACTCGACTAGTAGTGTTCGAGTAAAGAGCCTTTACAAGGTTTATGTACTTTTGGGGTACGCCTTTCAATGACAGACACTGCCACTTCCCGGTTGCCCACACCGTGGAAGGGTTCTTCTGGAGGTACCTGAAAAGGAAATTGGATTAGAGGCGGTCTCAGCGACCTGAGAGCGTGACCGCAGTGCCCAAGGGACAACTGCTTGAGGCCGGTAGCGCACGGCCTTTTTGTGGAAGGTTTTTGACGTGTTAGCTCCGTTCTTCAAAGAGCCTTACCGCCGGAGACGGAAATCCGTGAGGTAAGGCGAGGTGTGCATTTTTAGGGTCGACCTTTTCTAACCCCACCCCTCCTTGTGGGAAGGTAGCATCGCTGTCATGCTGGTTGTCTGAAGGAAACACCTTACTGCTGTCACACCTCTGTACAGTCAGCAGTACGACTTCGCCTTCGGACCTTAGGTTTGTTGCTTTTAGTCTTACCGCTCTTCAACCGACATGTCTGACATGGTAGGACCTTGAGGAACGGTTGTTTCAGCCAGTATAGCTCGGTTGCTTCATCACGATAGGCAAGCCCGACCACCACGTCAAGGTAGCAACAATGGTCGGGTCTGACACTCTTGGATTAGGTCTGACAATGTCATCTCTGTGCTAATGAGGTATAGCAACTTGAACTGATCTACATACATATCAAGCTCTACAATGCTACTGCTTTCAAATTACCAATCACTGAACTATCTGTATAAAAGATCGGTCAGGTAAATGAGTTAGGTGGGTCACTCAAGTTCAAACACCCTGTGAATAGATTGAGGAAACTATACAAATGAAAGAGTTTAGGACAAGTCACGCTTAATGTGAGCAAAGCCAGACGTTATAAACTGATCAATTCACACTACTACTAAAGATAGGAGTATTAATCGATGACAGAATCAAGTTAGGTAACATATCAGCTGATCTGTAAAGTTAGTTTCAAAATGGTAGATTACTGAGAAAAAATATACATGGATTTTCAACAAAATAATAAAAACTTACTTCTGATGTCATAGATGCTAGTTTGTCCGGACTCACGTGTCCCATTAGGACATTAAGTCGCAAATTGGGATTATTAGAATCACGTAGATTCATAACTCTAGTACGTACTCGTTGTTTGTACTTGGGATCAGTATTGTTGAAAAGATCATATATGGAGCTTTCTATTCGTATTGCTAGGAACTCACTTTCATAAGCACCGCTAGGAATATCTAAGAAATGAAATCAGTGTACTTCTGCTACTGTCACTTACTGCCACTTTCTAGTGCTGATTGAAGCATCTCCCGGGCTTTTAAACGTACTTGATCTGTTGTAGTCAAAGTGTGGACAGGAAAAAAACCACGACTTGCATTCCCCGATAGTTCTGTAGATTCCTTCTTTTCACTTGGCCGAGACCGTTTGGCTTCTTGTGGTCCTCCATCGTCACAGACATTGTAGTTATTTGACTCAGGTGAATATTTGTTGTCATTGTTGTTGCCATTGTCATTATTGTTATTGCCAACAGTATTGGTGCAAGATGCAGGAGCTTCACTTTTGTCTAAAATATAACAAAATACAAAAAAGAATCGTTAGTAACCTCTCAAAAATATCAGTAACGACTAATAGTTTGTATAGTTCCCTGATTTAGCACTATGATTATATTAAGCAATTGGCTGGAAAAGAATATGCCATCAAAGTTAACAATTGCTTTACCTGAGGAACAGAAACAATATCTCTTTTAAGAAGTGAACCTAACACAAGTATAACATACTTTAAAGATATGCAGATTCGGAACAACAAAATCAAATAGCTTGAGTTTACTACTATTATTAATATCTTAATACGATATGTTGAAGAAATTATAAATAAAAACATTGAACCATCTTTGTTTACCTTCCGATTTCACTTTACATTGAAGCCTTTACTATCCCAGCTACTTCAGTAGTTGAAAGTTGATAATATGAGGCAGTCAACTAATTACGTAGCATTCTAAGATTTACTGCTTAGCCAAAAAGTCTGAATGTACACCACCAATCCCTTCAATACAGCTATGTCCAAATGCTATCAATCACTGCGTGCTTTCGATTCTTAGATGCAATGTTTCACATTCACAAAAAAAACGATAGTGAAAGACTGAATGGACGTCATGCCTTATTCTACCCATCTTTAGTTTTCCAATCTATCAAAACCCAACCGTTGCTGCTACCTTGACGTGGTGGTCGGGCTTATATGTCTTGATGAACCAATCGAGCTTTACTGGCTGGAACAATAGTCCCTCGAGGTCCCACCATGCCAGGTAGGTCGGTTGAAAAGCGGTAAGACCAAAAGCAGTAAACCCAAGGTCCGAGGGTGAAGTCGCACTACCGAGGTGTGGTAGCAGTAAGGTGTCTCCTTCAGACAACTCGTATGACAGAGGTGTTGCCTAAACATGCACACCACCTTATCCCACGGATTTCCGTCTCCAGCAGGAAGGTCTCAATATTATTTTATTATTTTTTATTTCAACACATAGATAATGGTACAAAGAGGCACCAAATACATATGCGCCACACAAATCTCATTCGATATGTGTGAGGGCTGTGATACTGCCCGGGTGCCCAAACCGAAGCAGGTGGTTTTCTTAGGGGGCCACACCCCGAGCCTTCGACCTGAAGGTCTGATCCACAAGGCAGTGGAGCATCGTAAGGAGATGCAGTCCCATGGAAGCCGGTGACCAACAATTGGCTCATTCGCCATTTGTTCCCGCAGGATACTGGAGCCCATGTGCACCATTGGTTTGGGATCCGGTTAAAGCGCCGGACATTCGCTTTTCGTCCTCTCATTTTCGTAAACAACACCCCCGCCACGAGAAGGCAGTGAGTAGGACTTCCCTGGCAGAGGCTATATACGCGTGGCCGTGTGAGAGTATTTCGAGAGGGAGAGCGGACTCTCCCCACTCTCGTCCGTACCAGGGCATTTGGGGGCTCAATAAGTACGGAGCTAACACGAAAATTACTCACAAAATGGTCTTGTGTGAACAACCTCAAGCAGTTGTTCCTTGGGTACTGCGGTCACGCTCTCAGGTCACTAAGACCACCACTAACCGAATTTCCCTTTCAGGTCCCCCAGAACATCTCTTCCACAGTGTGGGCAACCGGGAAGTGATGACCACCCACATACCTTTAACAGTACTCAAGACCTCCGTATTCAAAATCAATCTCCCTATATAATCCCTATTATTCCTCCTACGTCGACTTCCAACTCCAAACTTCCTCCTCAAGTGTCATCATGGCTAACGATTTTAGCGCGCGAAACACTGTCCCAAGTCTGCTGAAACCTCGCTCAAAACTACAGATTGGAGACTTCAACGTACGCACTCTTTTTCAAATCGACCAACAGGCCTCCTTGGCTAAAACCATAGAATCTCGTACCATTGATGTATGCTGTGTCCCCAAAACACGCAGACAGGATTCTAGTGTGTTCATTCACTTAACCTCATCTCGCCAAAACGGAGAACCGACGAGATACACCCTCCGTGTGTCTAGCAACCTGATGGGTAGTTCTCGTGAACTGGTGGGTGTAGGCATAGCACTAAGCACTATTAGAATGGATCTCTGTTAACAGTCGCCTATGTGCTGTTCGGCTGAATAGCTCCGTAAGAACTCGGAATGACAGGGACACGTCGTTGCCTTTTCGTCATTTCTGCCTACACTCCCACTAACTGCAGCTTGAATGAAGTGAAAGATAACTTTTACAGAAAGCTCTCTGGACTCCTTCATAAAGCTAAACACTCAGATACAGTACTCGTAGTATGTGACTTTAATGCTCAAGTAGGTAACTTAAACCAAACAGAAATACATTTAGGTGGGTATTTCATTATTCCGGCTCAGTGAACAGATAATGGTGATCGTCTGCTGCAACTGTGCTCAGACAATCGTTTGTTTTTAGCAAACACTAATTTTAAGCATAAGGAGAGACATCGTTCAACACGGCGAACCCTTGCACCAAACCAACGATGGATTCAAATAGACCATATTGCCATCAGTCACTGTTGGAGAAGCTCTATAGAAGCCTGTCGCACGTTCTGGGATACCTGTTTGAACTCCGATCATGCTCTAATACGAGCACGCATTCGCTTGAGCCTCGCTGGACGCAGAAAAATCACGTTAAGAAGACCCAATCAATTTGAACTCAGTGATGAGAAAGCCAAAAGTAGATTCCAGGAACAACTGAGGTCACATTTAGGTAGTTCTGAAAACGAGGCTGACCCAGATGTTACTTGGAAAAAGATACGAACAGCTGTGAGAACAAGGACATCTATTAGTGGTTTAAACCAAAGGGGTTTCTATTAAGTCTATTGCACTGATAGATTCTCATAAACTCATCCCATCATGCTCTGAACACGATGGAGAACGAAAACAAATCAGATCTAGGCTAACCAAAAGTTTAAGGAACGATCGTGAGCAGTTTTATTTCAACACATAGATAATGGTACAAAGAGGCACCAAATACATATGCGCCACACAAATCTCATTCGATATGTGTGTGAGGGCTGTGATACTGCCCGGGTGCCCAAACCGAAGCAGTGGTGGGAAACGAAAGCAGAAGAAATGGAAACAGCAGCGGCTGTAGGTAACACCAGACAGCTTTTCAGACTAATAAAAAAATGCAATTAAGAAGTCAAGCGTAAGACTATCTCGGAAAAAACGGCACTCTTATCTGCTCTCAGCTCAGACGTTGAGAAAGATGGGTGAAACACTGTAAAGAGCAATTCAGTTGGCCTACAGCTACTCTACAACTACATACCATTCCCAAGTAGCATGAATGGTAATAGGTCCCTCGACTCTAGTTGACGTTCCGAAAGCTATAGCTAATCTGAAACGAGGAAAGGCAGCTGGTCCAGATGGATTGGCTCCAAAGATCTTTAAGGATGGTGGTCTAACCTTAGCGGTTAGGTTGACTAATATTTTATCTAAAATCTGGGAGTTAGACGTAATCCCATTTGAGTAATCGCAATCAATCATCCTGCGATAACCAAATAGGGATTAGTTTGACTAACAAAGCATCTAAAATACTAGCCCCAATAATTATCGGGCACCTAACAAAGACTCGTGAACTCCAAACACGAAAAAATCAGGCTAACTTCAGACCTGGTCGTGGCTACATCAATCACATATTCACCATCCGTCAGGTTCTAGAACACGGGCACGCTTATCGGCGTCCGACAATGGTGGTCCTTCTTGACTTAAAAGCAGTATTTGACTCTGTAGACAGCGAGATTCTGTGGTAGTGAGAGGCTTACCTCAGAAGTATATAGACCCTGTAAAAGCTCTTTACTCGAACACCACCAGTCGAGTCCGAGCTTACGGTGACTTGTCATCTGAATTTGCAACCTCAAGTGGTGTCCGGCAAGGCTATCCACTATCCCCATTTTTGTTCAGCTTCATCAGACCTGTCTGAATTTTCGGGATGGTCCATTTATCGACTTAGGATACTGAGATGATATAGTCCTGTTTAATGAAGACGCTGATAAATTGCAGTCTTTAGGCAGCACACGGCAACGATGCCAGAATGTGTTGGGATGCGCTACTCCTCATCAAATGCAAGTTGTTGCTTCAGGACCGGTCTACGTGAACAACTGAACTAAGAATGAGAAGCGAAGTAGTAGAATGTGTTGATAAATTCACTTATCTTGGAAGTCTGATCAGCCGTAATGGGTTGGTATCGGACAAAATCTCTGCACGGATTGAAAAGGCTCGCTTGGCTTTTTCCACCTTACGTCGTCTAAGGCGAAGGGGGGGTATTCGTTTATCAATCAAAGGACGAGTATACTGCGTGACAGTTCGTTCTGTTTTAATTTACGGCTGCGAAACGTGACCATTAAGAGTAGAAGACACTCGTAAGCTATTAGTATTTGACTACAGATGCCTAAGAAATATTGCTGGCGTCTGCTGGGATCACCGGGTAAGTAATAGTGAGGTTAGACGCAGGGTATTAGGAAATGATGGTAAATCAGTTGATGAGATTGTGAATGTTCATCGACTGAGATGGTTAGGCCACGTGTTACGTATGCCTGAACACCGATTACCACGACGTGCAATGCTGAATAGTGTAGGGGATGATTGGAAGAAAGTTAGGGGTGGCCAAACCAAAACGTGGCATCAGTGCTTGTAGTCTGAGCCATGTTGATAGATGCAGACTACTTGGTTGGGGTCCGCGTGACTATCGTAACCAATGGTTGAAGACTCTTGGAGACATGACTCAGAATCGATCACAATGGCGTCGGTGTATACACTCTCTGTCTTCCCTTAAACTAAGAGATTAAAATCGCTTCATATCTTTCTTTCTATGAAATAATTCTTTCTTCCTGTACTATATCCTTATTACAATCTTTCTTTTATATATTACCACCCCTGAATTAACTACTTTTATGAATCCGGTGTTTATCTTGTTGTGTTAATGAGATCTGGCAACTTGGACTGATGCATATATGTGCTTGGTCCTAAGTTGTAGCTGACTGACCGCGTGTACACCTTACCCTATCACAAGAAAGGTGTCACCTCACTGGTTTGAGAGTACAACAATTGCATTATAAGAACTATATAACTGAAAAATCACTTGATGAGGCGGTCGATTTTCATCAACCAGGGTGGTCAGGATATGCAGCAGGTATGTCCAACTATCGCCTATGCCAACAGGTCAAATTGTTTGGTGTAGGTGTGGGCATGAATAGAAGTGGTGGCCAGATTAGGATGTGACATCAGTCCATGAAGCTCGACTGTCATGTTAAGTGTAAATCACCCGGTTGAGATCAGTATGATAGCTTCAACCAACAGTCTGGGACGAGTGATCATTAAATTTTGACCATAACTATTGCTACCACTAATGATACCACTTTTACAGTGATAAAATTTACGGACGACCTATGAGAAATACTAGCGTCCTTGAGACCTAGACCACGAGCTGTGGTCGAAACATGTTTATATATCAGTGTGAGGAAATGAGACTAGAAGTTAGCGTTGTAGGTTGTGACAAGCAATTAGAATAAGGGTCATAGTAACGAATGAATTTTGAGTCAAAATTCAAGACAGTAAACGGCAAATTATCGTCTCAAGACATTTCATTAGTACGAAACTCAGAAGCCAAGAGATATATTCAAGAGTTTTGGCACAAAATTCACCTACCTGGGACCAGCTTTTTCCACTGCTTTATCATGTTTTTCCCCAATGTAGCAACCTCCGGATCTTCTGACTCCTTTCTTATCTTGTTGATAATTATACCTACACCGGTTTTCGTTAATATTTCCAGGGTCATCTCGATGCTTCGCAATCTCCTAAGGTATTTCAGCGCAGACTCATCATCCTAAGAAAATATATTACGGAAGCTAGACCAAAGCATACTATTTTTTTATTTTTTAGCATGCGGTCAAGCCGCCGGGCAACATGTTCAGTTTCTTCCATCCTGTGGCTTGCAGTGTGCAACTCTACTAAACTGCTGGAATTGTCGGAGTAAATCCTTTAATGAAATGCTAATATGTGGTGCTACGTTGTGTACTGGGGGAACGTTCAAAGAAATCTGGAGAAATAAGGGAAATAAGACGATGGATCACCAAGAATACAAAATGAATTTACGTCTATTAATGAAAGCAGTTCACAACAATTAGCAATGACGCAAGCGTAAGAGCAGGGCAATCTGAGAACCGAAACTGAGCGCTAGTGGGGTACTATTTGAACGCGTTACACGCTCAACGATTGAACAGGGCGCTTTAAGAGCATTATTTTAGACCTTCAATTTCTGTCTCGCGGGTGTCATTTTTGCCTCACTATCAAGGCATTAGTAACCAGTTAGTTGATTTCTTTGTTATTGTGTTTTACCATAAAGGGGCTGTTTCACGATTTTTGATTGTGATGAGTGATGTTTGTCTAGATAATCTGCTGTCATAACCCCAAAGACTAATAGTTCACTCTTTAGTCTTCAGTAATAAGGACAAGTGGTCGATCGAATCACACCAATTCTTGCAGTTTGCAATACTGTGAAGGTGCAGTGTAGTTTCGAATATATCACCAGAAGGTGCTGATATTATATGTACTGGTAGAGAATTACGGTGATTCACTATTCAGTGAGAGAAACGGAACTCCGGACGTAGACGATTTGATCTCCGTTCTTGAACTTTCTTTGAATGTCCTTCCAAACGACCAGTCTTAAATAGAAAGATAAGACATATTAATACCAAAGTCATTGTCCAGTATATGATAAGCCAATATTAAATCACCCAGTAATCTACGGTACGATAACGAAAATAAGTTGTCTCAGTTTGTTTTCACAAGATAGGCCACAGAGATCTTTTATCATTTAAGTCCTTCGTTATCGGAGTCGTTCCAGCATATCCGCCTCATGCTTGAAAAAAGGACTCGCTGCTTGAATCCCATATTCCAAGTGCTGTCTCACAACATTCGGCTATAATACTTTAAAAATTTCTTCATCCAAGTACTGAAAGGACATACAAATAGCCCATAATACCCTTAAGCCTTTGGCAGCAGTAGCCTTGAGGTTGCTTTTAGTTTTGAGGTCGCTGCTTATTATGACTCAAATCTTCATATTCTATTATATTGGGTGGCGATATGAATCCCCATAGTTATTTATTTGCATCACAACACTCTTGTCAGAATTTACTTCTAGTAACCACCCGCACATCAATGCCACCAATAAAATGAGATCATTCTGTAATACTATTCTGTCCGACATACTATGTATGGGTCTCCAAATTTTTATGTCATCGGTGAAGTGAAGAACGGATGGATTTGCTACAGTTGATAATTCATTTACATAGAGTAAAAAAGAAGAGGAGAAAGGATTGATTCTTGGTAGGTTCCATCTTTGGCAGGTTCCCACGCTGAGAGAGCTTGACTCACCCTTGTCCGCTATCTCCTATCACTGAGAAACTCACTTATCCATTATGTGACTTTTTTATTGAATTTCAAAACTTTCCAGTTTTAATTTAAAACCCGAATGGGGGTTATTGTCAAAAGCTTCACTTATATTTGTGAAAACTACATCTACATGAATATTTTGACCTTTTGATGCAGCCCAATTTTCTCTAGGAATAGACAAATTTGTCAAGTATGAAAGGCCTTTCCAAAAACCGTGTTGTGCCCTGGTTAAAAGATTGTCCCCTTCCACATAATCTTTTCCACTACTTTGACAACTGCATTGGTCAGACTTACAGGTTGATAGTTACTAAATAAGTCTTTGCTCCACACCTTATATATCGTACTAATTATTGCGGCTTCCCAGTGTGTTGGCGGCCTAGACTACTGCAGAAACTTGTCAAACAGTATGTCTATAGGTTCAGTAATTAAATTCCATAGGGCTTTCATAATCATAGGATGAATATCTTCAATACCACTGGACTTACCAGGTGAATTGTTGAAGTAGTTTTTAGATAGTACCTTTTTCAGTAAATACAGGATCCACTGACAAGCCGCCCCAATCACAATTAACCGTTGGCCGTTCCTTATTGCTGGTGGAAAACGATTTACTAAAATATTTTGATAAAGCTTCGACTTTTTGGTATTATTTCTTGCCAATATTGACGGATTTTATTGTACTAAAAGTAGTGGGGTTCCATCACTTCCCTGAGTTCACCTCTTTGTAAGTGATAATAACCTTTTCAGACTATTTTCACAGTCCCCAACCAGTTGTTTCCATATTACTTTCTAGTCTTACTTATCAACGCCTTTTAAGCATTCCTAGTTTCACAGTAACTGGATATATACTGTTCTAAGCCTGTAGAGATGAACATATATTCTAATGATTTTTCCTACATCCAAGAAGTTTTTTGATCCCTTTAGTTGTTCACAGTAGAAAGTTATTAAGTCTACGCAGTACGAAGCATGGTATAAACGACGATGTAACTGATATAAGCTTACTTTTAAATATAGACCATGTTTCTTCGATTGATGAGCTAGTATCTACTGACGAATCTGTCTTAGCAGCACACTCATGAATGGCTGTTATGTTACCTCTCCATACATGTGGGTGAGGCTTAACCAGATCGTATATGATGTCACAAGCTCTGAACACGAATGACAAAACAGCCTGGTTGCTATTCACTAACGGTGGAAGAATATTTAGGTTGGTAATATCCTCAGTCGCATAGGTGATTACCAATTCTTACAAAGGCAAACCTTGGTTTGAACTAAAACATGTGAGTTCGTACACATGCTGTGATAATGCATACTTCATTACCGGGATACTATTATCAAAAGGGTTTATAAATCTTACTGTGGCCATCGAAGTCCAACTAATATCAGTTGCATTAAAGTCACATAATATCAAGCACCTGCTTTTTACACTCCATAGCTGAATGTACTTTAAAGTCAAGTCGTCTACTAAGCAGATTGTGCTGTGATTGATGACACCGAATATAAATGTACAACATCTAATAGTGAGTTCACAGCTAATGACTCCACATGTTCCACTGTCATGGGATTCGCAAGCAAAGCAGCAGATATTTATACTATTGGATATGTATAAAAGGACGCCACATCCTTTCCTACACCTATATCTATAACTTCTTAGGTGGTGATGTCCGGATAATTCTGGAGTAATGTCGAAGTCATGGAATAACCAAGTTTCCGTAACAGCTAAAATGAGTGACCTCAATTTGTTCACTAATGCTTCTATTTCATAGAATTACGAGTTATTTTTCTTATTTACTTTGTTTTATTTCATTTTTGTTACTCATTTGGCGATACATACATAGTCGTTTATTCTTGTTCTGTGTTCACAAACACTTATTAAACTAGTTACGTATTTCGAGTCTCTTTTATTTCTATTCCCTTATTTTCTCCCTTCCCTTCTTTAAAGTCAACTCATTATTCTTCTCAATTATACAAAACCTGGTTTATTATTATTCAGTCATCATTTTTATCTATTTGTCTTTTTTTCAAATATGGCGAATATAATGCTGGCATTATTGAAACTTGTGTACTATTGCATTTTCGAAGAAACCCGAAATGGTTTCTTCACAACACTTATGTACCTATAAGATGTTTGTGGATGATAATAATAATTTGAAAAATTAGGATCTCATCTGGGTGTTTGCCCACTAATGACCTGGTCATCAAGGATTTTGTGTATCACACTTGTAACCGTCTGACAAGATTACATTGGATAAACATTGTGCTCTATTTAATTTATCTCACAACACAGTGTGGTCATCTCCCTCCTAATGTTAATCGATCATGTTTAAAAATTGGTAAATTGTAAGTCAAGATGATAAGGTTATTTAGGGCATGGCATCAACACTATAACAACTTAGTTATCACGGATCTCAAAGATAATCAAATCAGAAGTCAATATTCACTGAGTTCGAAGGTTTATTAAGAAAAATAACCAGTACGTCGAGGAGTATGCAATTTGGGCCTAATAGTTGGTGTAAGGGATGTGTGGTATTGTACACTCAAATAAGGTCTAGTGCGGATGCCTGATCAAGCGCTTTCAGCAAGGACTGTGTCGAGGAAAAATAATCAAGCCGGCACCGACGTCGAACACTTACAGATCTATTTGCTGCGGCAATTTATTTATCGCCTCATATGGCTTTCGGGTAAGGATAAGTGAGGCAAGTGCATGAACCCGTCTAATTTCTTCTCTGTTAATGACCAGCGAATTGGTGATACATGCATTATCGTGACACCCCTATCAGGTCCCTGAAATATTATGTCAACGCCGATAGATTTAAGAGAATTAATAGCGGAATAGGATGATATGACTTTTAATGTCTCATACACTTCTACCCCTCCAATAACTAAATGCAAACGAGACAGCCGTTTAATGCAGAGAAACTGACGAATGTGGGTGATAGAGAACCCATCTCTAATGGATATACCTGTACCGATCTCTCAGCCATAATTACTACAATGTCGGTAATGTATATGTTCAACCTTATCACACAAATCCTGAAAGATGTTAAGTTTAACAAGGTAACTAGCTATTCCTAATTTCGTTTAATAGATTTAGTAGTACTATTGTGGACCATCTCGTTTAATTAGTTAACTGGGCCCCACATTGTAAATGAACAACAGAAGTGACCACCGTAGCTAAGCAACAAAGGATAGTTAATTAAAATTCATTAAAACAAGATTCGAAAGATTTTTTTGTATTACGACAGACGAAAAAACATCAAATATGGACGAAGGTAGATAGATATGTAAGTTCAGTAAAGTATCATAAAACACTATCGTCCATTGAGTTGGACCGCCTCTATTCTAGAAGATTGGTCACTGAAAAATGGAAGGTCTGTGACTCTATCAAGCTCAAATGTGACCGAAGCAGGTCGACTAATTAACTACATTGGGCCGATTTAAGCGGTAGTACAATAATACTTCGCTATTATTGATAAAACAATATTACTCAGGAATTTCTTTGTCCGTTTTCTAGGGGTATTTATAAAGCAGGACATTCCAACCACTAGGTCAAAGTGAACCAGGTTCACCAAGCATCGAACGGTGTGACTTCTGTGAAAGGTCATGTCATTCAATCAGTTAATCGTCTTCTCACACCTCATTCGTTAAAGTTTAACGGTCAGAAATACAAAGAAAGTGGTTTAGTATCATAAATCATCTTCAAACGCAATTGTCAGCTCAAGTTGGATAGTTGAGAGTCGGACAAAAAACTATTATTTAGGTCAAGACATTATAGCTTAATCACTTCTTTATTTTGTGTGGGCATTAAGCCCCCTATTATTCTCAGATGGATGTT